TCAGAGATTATGTTTTTCTTGTGAGTCCTTACAAGACAGACTTGTAGAGTTTATAAAAAGTTTGATTCTTGTTACGGTATCAGTTTTTATATGACTGGACACAGTTGCAACATGTTACTACTGATAAAAATAGATATACAAGTTTTCCACAGTAACCTTGAAGCACCAGCTACAAAGCATTTAAAAAGATACATCATTTGATTTTTTCCAAGCACCTGGTCAATGATGACAGTGAGCAATGTAACAGCCAGCAATGTAATAAGACATAGAAGAGGAGGAAGACAGTGAAAGCTGAAACTGTCTGACCCCTGCTGTTCACATTTGGGTGTAGCAGGGAACATCCTGAAAAATGAGGAGGATTTATGAGTAAAGGCAGAAGGAAAAATTCATACTATAATACCATATTGACAAGTGATAAAGAAGAAAGTGTAATTGAGAAATGTCATAAATATTCATAGTGGTCAACTCACAAGAATGACGTCTTTCTGCGTCTGGGTCTTGAGAATATAAAGCACTGCATCGTGAACAGTGACAAACAGCCTGCTCTTTGGGATTTGCTCCGAGAAGAATCCTGCAGTGTCCAGCTGTTTCACAACACAAGCTAACATTTGACACAAAGACAGAAAAAAAACATGCCTGGTGAGAAGAGACCTTCCAGCTGTTTCACAACAGAAGCTAACATTTGACACATAGACAGAAAAAAACATGCCTGGTGAGAAGAGACCATGAGAAGGAAAGCATTTTGTGATTAGAAAAATATGTTTGACAGGTCTGACAGGGAACAATGTGGGACCACTCAGAGTGAAATGATAATGATTTATTCTGAATTTCAAGAGGAGGACCGCATTTCTTCCTATCGTCTCTCTATATTTATCTCCACTTTCACATCCTCCCTCTATCTTATCCCCCCTCCACTCACCTTGGCAGCCTGATAAATAGATGGCCACATCAAGCTCCCCAAAGTCACTGAAAATCTGTGAGAAAAATCAGAGATCATTGTTTGTTTGTTTTGGTTTCTTTCTTTAAGAACCTGCAGGCTGTACCTAGTCACTTATATACACTTAACACTAATCAGATCATTACATGCTATCAGTATCAACATACACGTACCTTTTTCAAGACGTTCACAGTGTTTATGTCCACAAAGCTGGTTTTTGAAATGTCCAAAATGATGCTATGCGTGCGTGATTCACTTGAACTCTCTTTATCCTCATCACCATGGTATGTTACCGGGGGGAGGTTGTTATCACCAGGGCCTAAATCATGTTGGTAAGCCCAGTTTACCTGACCTGTACCAAGGTCAATTGTAGAAATCCCAGCTTGTTTAAAGTCTGTGAGATTCACTTGATTCTGTCCGCTCAGCTCTGCAGGAAATCCCCCCTCCTCAATCTTTGACTTCTTTAAAGCAAATATGCCACTGAACAGGCGCCTGTTGAGCTGGTTCTGCCAAGAGGTTGAAAAAGTGGTATTAAGTATTAGTGAGTTCTTAGTTCAAATCCATAAATGACTGGTTTTATCTCAGAAGAATTCATATAATTTGTGTTATTAGCACATCATACTTGGTTCTTTGCCAGCTTTTTCGCTTTCTTTATCTCTTTCTCTTCTTTACGCTTCAGTGCTTCATCTCGTTTCCTCTTCGTTGTCAGCAGCTTCTCAAGGTCAAATCCAGTCTGTACAAAAATCCAAGCATTGCATTAAAGAGAGAGAAAAGAAAGTGAGAAAGATAATGAAAGATAAACTGTAATGATAATGCTAAATATAATGAAAGCAATTGTACTGGAGGCATCTGGCAGTCTAAGGCTGCACATAAACACACATCCACATGGATGCACATGCATATACAGCACCTTCTTTTCCAGGGCCTCCGTGAACCTCTGAGCATTTATGTGGTACAGAGTTGCAGATGTACTGAAGATTTTAATTCCAGGAATCTCTTTAGCCTGCAGAGACACATCATGAATTTGACTTCAGAAACTCATACTTTGTGCTGCCCTCCCTTATTGTTTGACCAAATGGAGCTTTGTACTACTTCAGGACTGAAAGTTGATGTAGGTCTATTCACAAACTGCCTGTCTGAAAGCATCAGTTCAAACAACTCTTTCAATTTTTGTGAATAAATATGGCACCAAGTGTCTTTCATTTATCACTAAAGGATTCTTACCTCCTTGTAGGTTTCTATGTCAAGATACAAGGCTGTGTCTGGCACAAGACCCAAGATATAGTAGCGAGGTCTGAAATGTATTAAAATGACAAATTTACAGTAAGACCTGCCTTGCAACTCACTGAAACTTTTGCCAAAATCTCTAATTGTGCTTGCATATAGTATATGCCAATACTTTAAAATTAGTGGTGTGTAATTACAGTTGTGATCTGATGATGTAAACAAACAAGGAAAAGCCAACGGCAGCAGCCAGGCCAATGTCCAGGTTGAGCAGGATGGTACATGCGAATGTCACCAGCCACACCACCTGGAAGACAATATAAACACTGACAGTCAGTGGAATCAACAGTGATGTTAGTTTCCATTAGTTAAATGAGTTAAATGACTCATACAAAGAATGTGGTCATACCATATCAATCTTATTGGTCTTCCACAGTGTATAGACATCAGTCAACTGCATGAACATTAATGTTAAGTTCACAAATACTATTGCAGCTAAGACAACCTGAGGAGAACACACAGCATAACTGGTTATTAAACTGTCTGCCA